ATTGACTAAAATTATCCGAAATTTAGTGCAAAGAAAATATTTATATTACCTAATTTTATTTAGTTATGTATGGTAAAGGCTAACTCCGATAAAATATACCTGATGTAGATGTATTTATGATAACAGATTTTCTTAAGAATTATATTTGGTTTTATTTTTGTTATAAAGGGTACTTACATCAAAATTAATCTTCACAGCAAAAAAACCTTTGATGTATTTTCAAATTAGGTCGTTACACACTTTTCAGCTATTTATCTCGACGTGTAACATCTTATGAGAGATCTAAAAACATTTTGTAGGGAGTTGTCTTTGTAGCATTTGTACATAACGTTTCGAAGCAAGCGCGATAAATTTTAAGGTTTGACATTTTTCGGGAATTGTCGGTGTGTTTTCGGTACAGGGTTCAACACTTTTTAATTAGAGCGAAAAAAAAAAGAACAAAAATTGTTTTTGTTATAATATGTGTATGTGGTCTTTCCATTTAGTACAAAACAATTTTTTTTCAAAAACTTAAATTGTGTACACAAGCTAAAAAACATTGGGTTCCTTATAAATAAAGAATTTAAAATGTTTTTTCCACATCATAGAGAATTAGAAATAATTAAAGAGCAAAATACTTTCAATTTTTTCTTTTTAAATTAAGAAGAAACTTAAACATCGATTTTAAACCCCAAAAAATTTTATAAGAAAAAAGTTATTTTAGGTAATTTTTCATTTGTGGGGTTTCAGTTCAATTTTATTAAAAAAAATGTTAACAATCGGTTTCTGTTCAGGATACCAAAAAAAAGGTAGTTCATGTTGGGAGAACCCAGACCTTTTTCATATGTCTTCCATCTCTTTTTAACTTCTCATTAGAAAAAACATTTTTTCTTTATTTAAATCATTTTTTCGTAAATAAATTAAATTTTTGAACACTCCCTCACCGTCACCACGAGGGTCATCATATTATACTCATATCTTCCATCTTTTTTAACTTCTCATTAGATTTTTTTTTTTATTTATATCGTTAGTAGATTTTATTTGTTCTAGCTAGGTGGTAACAATTGCAAACTTATTAGTTGTGGACTTCAAACTTTTAAGTTTCTCTCTGTCTAGTCAATCAAACGGTCAAAGTTATTTTGTTACAAAGTGTACACACTTTTAATTTGCGGCACTCTTAAAAATCACATGTCTAAACGTTCACTTACACATATGCTAATGAGATGCATATTTTCTTTTTCTCTTGATGATATTCCACATGTACTTGACAGGTGTGCATGCAGCTAGTTGTTTCTATTTCAGCGTTATTAAGCCTAAAGTGTTTACATTGACACTCTTAACAAATTTCATGCGAACTCTAGTACGTATAGTTGATTGCATCACTAACATATATATTCAAAGTGGTCAATACTCTTAATTTAGTATTCTATCTAGAAAAAAGTGTATGTTCTGAAATTTAGCAGCTCTTATAAACATTCTGGCACTAATTGTCATTATTATTCGTTCTTCAGTGCTGTCAGCAGTTGTAGTACGAACGAACGACGACATTCTCAAGGAGATGCTAAACAAAAAAGTATCAGAAATAAGAAAAAACAGTTTATTATCCCTAATGTAAAATGTAATTGTGTCACGCTAACTTCCCTTGTAAAGACAAATAGGGATTGTACTCTAATGTCACATTTTAATTACATTTTTATATATTATCAAAATATTTTGAAATCTAATGCTAATTATTGTGTGACAAATAAACATTTATTTTTTAAACATTTACATAACATTGTGTAAACTCCTATTGCTACGCTGAAACCTGGGGGAAGGTAGGCGGACTTTGTACATTGTGATACAACCACAGATAGTAATGGTCGTTTTGAAAAGCTGCTGGCTGACGTTTAGTTCACTATAATCAAGAAAGTTAAATTCTCGAAACGATTGATCCGAAACAGTTTGGAAGCCTTTTGTGTGAATGGAGTGAACTAGTTATTAAAGAAGTTTTTTTAAATTAATAAAGTGAATAAAGGTCACCTTTGGAGGACTTCATTCATTTTCGGGTTATACCCTCTAAGAATGTGCTAAAAACAAGCATACGTTAACTCCTAAAAACAAGTAAGTAATAAGTTAAACTGTTGTATATTTAAACATCCACAAGCTTTTGATGAACATTAGTTATCATTTTATAAGCAACCAATTTTCTTACTCTTTAATTGCGTAATCATGCTAATCACATAGTAAAGATCAGTTAACATAATAATTGCCTATTAAATAAAAATAACCCACAGGAAATGTAGATTACTTTTGTTAAGCGGTCTGATGCATGAAATGATTACGAAATGCAGTTACGTGTACGAATTCTATAATTCGATTATTACAACCATAATAATAATAAATAAATAATAAGATCGATGCATGTCACTCTCAAATAAATAAACATTCTTACTACACTATTCAAAATAAGGTTGTATTAGATTCAGTTAAATCTTTGGTGTCCTTCAAAAAAGTAACATTAGTTTATTTACGGGTTACAGCTTTATCTCCTATTTCGGTGAGAGTTTGTTCTAAAACTTGAAGTTCTGGGGTTATTTAACTTCATTTCGGGCTATTTACGGGAACTGTAGCTTTTTATTTGTTAAATTGGAAAAGTCATCGTTTATTCTTTCGTTTCTTTTATTTATAAAATTTTATTGTAAAGTATTTCGTAAAATGGTAAGAGCTATTTCTTTCTCCTTGGGTTAAATTTCCAATCAGCAGCCGTATCCAAAGATGAGATATTTATATGGTGCATATAACAACGTAAAAGGATAATAACTTATTGTATACTGAACCGATTGATTATACGTACATTGAAATAAAAGTTAATACCAAGGTTTGTAAGTTTCTTCAGGACTTTTTAAAATACGAATATTTTTAAGTAATGAATTATTAAATCTTTACGTTGGGGAGTTTGAATTAAGGATTTCTATAGTCATAAAGTGAAGATGTCTCATAAACAATTTGCAATATTCTAGCAAGGTATCGTTACTAACTTCGATGGGGGAATTGTGATGAGAAAAAGGTGTCTTAATTGTGAGGTAATTGTTGTTGAGTTCTTGTGCTTAAGCATACTTGGAAAATATGTCAGTTAGGGTAAGAATATTGCGGTTTTTATTTTTTAAAAGGTTCATAAGCAGTCGCTCTAATGGCCTTTTAACAAATTAATGGTCTTATGAGGTGTGCGTTCAAATTCATTGCACAAACAAGTTTAGCATTTACTTATAAAAGCGGCAATTCTTTAATTTCCGGAACAAAACAAATACACTGAATATGCTTCCATGTGTCGTTAATGCTATTCTGATGACTTTCGTAATAAGATATCAAATGTGTAAATTTATTTATATTATAAGTTCGTATAAATTTTTGATAAACCTAATTGTCTCATTAAATATAGGATAAGTTTTATAAATTGTGGTTCTAAATCGGCATCTCTGAAGTACATTCCTTACATTTTTCGGGTTCTAATATAAACTAGAGGAAATGTCTTTACATGTGAGCTTTGTAAACCGTTTCTATATATTTCATCGTATGTTCTACCTTGGTTATTACTGTACTTTTGGACTGTAACTATATTTCGTTACTGTGCCATAGAATAAAACCGTTTTAGAACGATTGTACAGTCCAATCATTGATTTTTGACGCGCGTACAGGTCTTCTATAGATACATGGACTGTTTCGTTTGTTTGCAGTTCTCAATTTTTGTGACCTTCTTCAATAATTTTGTCAACTTTGAGCGCATCTGAGGGGCTGCCCTTGTTTCCGTCAATTTGTGGAAAGAATG